CCCAGGATAGGGGGTGTCCCAGCAGCGGGGCTGTGGGAACACCCCTCTCACCCCAGCTTTATCCTGCCAGGGAGCTGCGGGCGCCGAGGTGGCCCCCAGGCCAACGCCACGGCCCCCCGAGGACGGATCATGGGCGGCAGCGTGGCCCCGCGGGGGGCCTGGCCCTGGCTGGTGTCCGTGCGGCTCCACGGGGAGCTGATGTGTGGAGGGGTGCTGGTGGGGCTCTCCTGGGTCCTCACCGCAGCCCACTGCTTTGCTGGGTATGACGGAGGGCAGAGCAATGTGGGGATGGTGTCCCTGCAGAGGGGTGTGTGGAGTGGCACCCCTGTCACCCCTGTAACTAGCTGCCCCCCAACCCACCAGGAATCGGAACGAGCTGGCGTGGACGGTGGTGGTGGGCGACCATGAGCTGGACAAGCTGGGCACGGGCGAGCAGGCGGTGCCTGTCCGGCGCATCCTGCCTCACCCCAAGGTCGGTGGAGGTGGGCACCCCCTTGACCTCCTAGTCCATTCCCCAGGATGCCCCACTGACACCCCCCATCTCCTTCCAGTTTAACCCCAAGACGTTTCACGGGGACCTGGCGCTGCTGGAGCTGGCGGTGCCGCTGGCTCCGTCACCCACCGTCAGCCCCGTGTGCCTGCCCAGCGGCCCCACGGAGCCCAGCCCCGGCACCACCTGCTACATCGCAGGCTGGGGGTCCCTCTATGAAGGTAGGTGCCACCCCAACACCCGTGGGGGCTGTGGGGCATCCCCCTTGGTGCCCTCTCTGGTACCCAGTGCCGATGCCCCAAGCCAGGGCAGGGGGGTACAAAAGAGGGGGATGTCCAGGCACGGGAGACCCTGTAATGTGTACTTTGCCCAGCAGAGGGGCCAACGGCCGATGTGGTGATGGAGGCACGGGTGCCCCTGCTCAGCCAGGAGACGTGCCGGGGTGCCCTGGGCAGGGACCTGCTCACCAACGCCATGTTCTGCGCCGGGTACTTGTCCGGGGGCATCGACTCCTGCCAGGTAATGCTGGGGGCTGGGGGGCTGCCAGCCCCCCACCTCAAAACTCCCTCACAGCACAGCACTGGGAGTGCGGTTGGGGTCCCGGCCCAGACCAATGCGTGGGCATCCCCACACCCAGGGCGACTCAGGGGGCCCGCTGGCGTGCCAGGACCCATCCTCGCACCGCTTTGTCCTCTATGGTATCACCTCGTGGGGCGATGGCTGCGGTGAGCAGGGCAAACCGGGAGTCTACACCCGTGTCACTGCCTTCGTGGACTGGCTCAGCCTCCAGATGGACCGTGAGTGCCACTGGCCCTGTTGGGGGGGTTGAGATGCCCAGGGTGCTGTGGGGATACATCGCCCTGGGGGGAGCGAGTTCAGCACCTCATGGCAGCCCTGGTGCCCTCACAGCTGCCCCGAGCAGCCGGGAACCAAGCTGCTTCGACCTGCTGGCGCTGGCCCAGCTGCCCCCTGAGCAGCAGCTGCCCGAACGCAGCCGCCTCTGTGCCTTCTATGCCGGGTCTTGCCGGGTGCCCCAGGGCCGGGCCGCCTGCGCCCGCCTGGCCGAGGAGACCTGCCGTGCCAGGACGAGACGATGCGGTGAGCTGGGGAGTCATGCTGGGGCGAGGGTGTGGGGAGGGACCCCGTGTCTGGCAGCATGGGGCCAGCATGGGGCCAGCGCCATGGCTCTCCTGCTGCACCCACAGAGCTGCACTCCTATGCCCAGACCTTGGTGGATCTCCTTCGCCGGGCTGGGGAATTCATCCGAAACCAGTTTGACTTCTCCTTCCTCACCCGCGCCCTGCCCCAGCTCCTGGGCAAGATCTACGGGCATCTCTTCCCCCACCGCAGCCGCAGGGATGTTCCAGGTACCTCCTGGGCTGGGCCACCCCATGCCCACCATGCCCACTTGGGGTGCCTATGCCAGTGGCTGGGGCACCACCAGCTTGCCCTGGAACCCCCATGGGGCTCCCCTGCCTCTGTTCCTCCTCTCCCCTTGTCCTCACAGGCCTGGCCATGGCAGGGGGCCAGCCCAGCCCCACGGCAGATGGACCCCGGAGACCCCCCACCAGGTAAGGCTTGGCGGGACACAGGACAAGAGGGGCTAAAAGCTTTGGGCAGGTGGGTAACACACCTGGGGGGAGGTGGGTGCGGCCCCCTGGGGTGCCCAGGGCCACCCAGACCCCACCAAGGATGTGCGAAGTGACACTGGGGGACGGGTGCCACTGGGCACCTGCCTGATCTTGCCCCACTGTGTTTGCAGGTGGGGTGCTGGGTGGCCGCCCCCCTTTGCCGGGCTCTTTGGGGCCGTGGGGCCCCGGCTGCAGGACTGGGTGGAGGCGCTGAGGGCCATGGCAGGGGGTAGCCCCCTGGCACCCACCCCAGATGGGGGGCAGGTCCCCGGGGAGATGTGGCTCTTCCTGCAGGTATGTGGGGAGGGATGGGCTGGGGGAACTCCTGCCCCTCTGGTGATGGTGCCACCAGGGACCAAAGGCCTATCAGTTCCCCTGTGTCCCCTCCTGACATAATTGTGTCCATTGTCCCCTGTGCAGCCATGGAAGTGGCATCTCCCACTCTGCCACCATAGAGGGGGCATCTCACCTTCCCCACCTGAAATCAATGCTCCCAGTCCAACCAGTGCAGAGCCAGCCATGGGTCTGATCCTGCAGCTTAGGATTTGATCCAACACAGCCACAGAGCTGTCGTGTGTCCCTGGTGCCCTGTCTGACCAGTCCAGCTGTGCCCTGCACTCTGCCCCTGTGCACTTGGCTGTGCCCACGGGTGCCCCGTGGGTGTCCCACCACCCACTCTGTGACCTCCTTCCCTTCAGCAGGGCGAGGAGGCAGTGGAGGAGCTGGTGGGACAGGGACGAGCCTTTCTTGCCCAGCTGCGGGCAGAGCTGGACCTTGGCACTTCTTCCGTTGAAGCCACAGAGCGGCGATGGACACCTGGGGAGCTGGCAGAGGCCCCTGCGCTGAGCCGTGAGCCCTGGGACCTGGGGGGCTGGGGACAACGGGGCAGCAGGGTGTCCATCCGCCGGCTGCCTCCAGGCCTGGGCAGTGTCCACCAGCCATATCCCTACTGGGGTTTTCACACCTCTCTCAGGGGCAGGGGCCGCACCAAGGGAGAAACGTGAACTGGTGCCCACTGAGCTGCCAGGGGCAGAGGAGGAGGAAGAGGAGGCAGGCGCGGGCAGAGGTAAGTGCCCCGCAGCCCCTGGCCTCTGCAGGATGACACGTGCCACCATTGGGACGATGGCAAGCCCAGCCTTAACTTCACGCCCCAGTCCCAGGGCTGGTTGTCCTATGTCGGTGGGACTGCCAGCGGCTATACCCCCTTCCACAGGGACTCCGTCCCTGCTCTCCTGGTGTCCCCAGAGCATGGGTGCTCCTCCCTGGGGTGGGCAGCAGCGTGGTGCCTCCACGACTCGTCCCTAATATCCCCCGCCTCCCTCTCACTCCTGCCCATCCTTGGGGTTGCAGCCTGCCCCGGCCTCAATGCATCGGCCGTGCGGGTGGCTGCGGTGCGGGAGCTGTACGCCTGGGTGCTGCGGGTGCCTGAGCCAGACCTGACTATGACCTTCCAGGAGGTGAGTTCCCCATTGACCTACTCCGAGACCCCATCCTGGCCACCAGACGGTGCTCCCCTGCCAGCCCTTCACTTTCCAGCTGTGCCTCTGGCTTCCCTGGGACTCACGGTGTTGTGGTCTCCCCACAGATCCTGGTGGACTTGGGCTCCAAAAACACCAAGGGACTGTACCGGGCGCAGGTGCGGGCCACAGTCGGGGGTCGCCCCACAGCCTTCGCTGGCCTCGTGGGGCTGGAGAGCGACTCGCTGGCCCGCAGCATGCCTGGCCTTGTCGCTCTGGCGCTTGAGGCACTGAAAACCTGATGGTGCCCCTGGGGTGTTCCCCGGCTCAGGCTCTTCCACCCTTTTGTCCCACATGGTGCCTCAGGATCCCTCTTCCCACCAGCACTGCCCAACCTCCCTGTGGTAACGGGGTGCCAGGGGACACCTGGAGCATCTCAGCCAGGGATCATGGCCCTCCTCTCCCTTGAGACCCCCACCTTGGCAAGCCCACCCCTTCCCCATTTTCCTCAGAGGCACCTGGGCTGTTATTTATTTGTACAGAGAAAGGTTTATTTTTCAATAAAGCAGGGCTCTATTTTCCGGTAGCTGGTGCGTGTGAAGCCAGTGTTGTGCCATGCAGTGCAGGTGAGACAGGCAGTGGTGGGGGGACTTTCCATGGGGGATATGACATCCCATTGCAGCCCCCTTCCCATTCCCCTGTACCCCAAAGTGACGCCCCCAGCCTTGGTTCCTGCCCCTGGCATCAGTGCTGTGCCCAGCCTGGCACAGACTCCCCAGCCCCACCCCCGGGGGTCAGACACCCCTCCTGCCCACCGCAGCACCCAGAGCACAACACTGGTGCCACCCCATCGTGGACCCACAGGAAACCTCCTGCCAGTGCGCGCCCTGGGCCAGTTGTGAGAGCCAGGGTGGTGCCGCCCCCGTGCTGGTGCATCGGTGGGTGCTGACTCCTGCTCAGGGGGGAGCCCGCCACCCCCAAGCAGCATTGTTGGGGCTGCTGAGCAGCGGGGAAAGGACTGCTCCTCCCAGTGCCCAGCAATGCCCGTGCTGGGGTGCCCAGGCACAGGGTGATGGGCTGACACCTGTGGGGCTGGCGAGGCCAGCTGCGCCTGCCTGTCTGCCCTTGTGCGGGCGCGGAGGTGCCGGAAGAGAGGGGTGGGAGCGGGTATCCGGTGCCGGCACCCTTCCCCCTCGACACCTGGCACCATCCATCTCCCGCTCCGGCCGGCAGCCGGACATCCGCTCGGCCAGGCCAGGCGGGGAGGCAGCCAGGGCCTGGCACTGCGCGAGGGCACCACGGGCACCACATGGGGGACCTGCCGGGGCGGCTGGCCCTGCTCGGGGCGCTGGTGCTGTCGGGTGAGTTGGGTCCCGGGTTATTGGGCACAGGGTTGACCCTGTTGCTGGGGGGGGGTCTGGGTTTCTGGGTTCCCTCGATGGGGTCGGCAGGGGGTGGTGGTGGCAGGGTCCAAACTGGGCACAAGTGTCCCCAGGGCTGCATTTTGGGTCTTGCCTGGCAGAGTCCCATCACTGAACATCCTCTGCACTTCTGTCCTGGCTGTGTCACCCAGAGCCTGTGTGTGTGTGCCTCTGTGTGCGCAGTGACACTGCATCTACGACCGCATGTCCCTGCGTATAGTGGGTCCATGTGTGCCTCTGACTGCACACAGTGCCACTGCAGCTGCACCCAAGTGTCTTGTGTCTATGTGTCCCTGTGTGCTGGGTCTGCATCTGTGTGTCCCTCTGTCCAAGCCCACGTCCTTGTCCCATGGCCACATGTGCGCATGCATCCTTGTACTACCCTGTCCTTGCCGAGCATCCCTGTGGGGTGGCACTGGGCCCAGTAACTCCCCCCAGCCCCCTCTGGTTTGCCTGACCCCACACCCCCAGGTGGGCTCTGCGTGAACCAGGAGGAGCGGCTCATCCACCACCTCTTCGAGGAGAAGGGCTACAACAAAGACATGCGCCCTGTTGTCTCCACCGACCAAGTCGTGGACGTCTACCTGGCCCTCACCCTCTCCAACCTCATCTCACTGGTGAGCCCCAGCAGGCAGTGCCCCCTGTGGGGTGCCCCCCATCCATGTCTCACCCCCAGGGCTGGCTGGGATGGGGAGAGCCCGAAGCCGCTGCCCTTGAACCCTGGCTGGTGAGGGTTGGGTGTCCTGGGCTGGTGGGGATGGAGCTGGGTATGGCCCTGGCATCACACTGCCCCACACTGTTGTTGCAGAAAGAAGTGGACGAGACGCTCACCACCAACGTGTGGCTTGAGCATGTGAGTAGAGACAGGCGTCACGGTGTCAGCTGTGCCCTGAGGCATGGGCAATGGGGTGGCCCAGTGTGGTGAGGAGCTGACCTGGGGATCCCCCCTCCAGGGCTGGACTGATTACCGCCTGCAATGGAACAAGTCTGAGTTTGGGGATGTCGAGGTGCTCCGCTTGCCACCAGACATGCTGTGGCTGCCTGAGATAGTCCTGGAGAACAAGTGAGCTGTGCCTCAGTTTCCCCTTCTGAACCCCCTGAGCTGTGCCCAGTTCATGCTCAGACATCCCCCTGCCCCTTGCCGGCCCTGCCATCACCTCAGCTCTCTCCCGGCACAGCAACGACGGGCTCTTCGAGGTCGCCTACTACTGCAACGTCCTCATCTACAACACGGGCGATGTCTACTGGCTGCCGCCCGCCATCTTCCGCAGCGCCTGTCCCATCAATGTTGACTTCTTCCCCTTCGACTGGCAGAACTGCACCCTCAAATTCAGGTGCCAGGGGGCTGGCTGGGGCAGGGCGGGGCAGGGGCGGCCAGCAGGGTGTTGCCAGCACCTTCCTCTGCTGTCAGAGCACAGCAAGGTCGGGGTTTGTAGGTGACTTGGTGGCCAAGTTTATCATGCTAGAGGTCAGGGTGGGTAGGTGGTGGGTGCCAAGCTGTGGGTGCAGCCCCTCACTGCCTGTCCCCCACCACGCACGGGCCAGCTCACTGGCGTACAGTGCCCTGGAGATCAACATGCACTTGAAGGAGGAGAGTGACCCGAAGACGGGCAAGTATTACCCAGTGGAATGGATCATCATCGATCCCGAAGGCTTCACAGGTAATGCTGGTGCTCTCTGCTGTGTCCTGTGGCAGCAGGGCACCCTGTGCGGGGCTTGGGGGCACCCTGGCATTGGGGCACCCTGCCATGGAGGCACCTGGGTACCCGGGGCTTTGGCACCCTGGCACCCATCTCACCAGGCTTGGAGCTACCCAGGCCCAGGATGGGGAGACTGGTGCTGGTGGGGCTGGTGAGGATGGGCATGGCAGGGGTCACCCATGCCCTCTGCTGTCCCATGTGCCCTGCAGAGAATGGGGAATGGGAAATCATCCACCGCCCGGCCCGCAAGAACATCCACCCTGACAACCCCCCTGAGACCAGCGAGCACCAGGACATCACCTTCTACCTCATCATCAAGCGCAAGCCGCTCTTCTACGTCATCAACATTGTCACACCCTGCATCCTCATCGCCTTCATGGCCATCCTCGTCTTCTACCTGCCTGCTGACAGTACGTGAGCCCCATGGCACCCACACCGGGCACAAGGGTCACCCCATGGGGCACCTCCATGTCCCATGCCTGCACCAGGTCCGGAGACATGGGGACACCCCAAGGCCCAGCACAGGAACATCCTGGTACCGGGACACCCCCACCTAGGACACATCATCCAGGGGCACACTTTGGCACAAGATACCCCATGTGGGACCCTGGGGTACCCCCATAATAGAAAACCCTCTATGGGGCACTGTATGGTAGGACACTGGAAGGGCAATCCCGGCACTGGGGGTGCTGGGAAGGGGACCTGGGGCAGGGTTTGCCCTGAGCTCACCTGCTCTCCAGGTGGTGAGAAGATGACTCTGGTGATCTCGGTGCTCCTGGCCCAGTCCGTCTTTCTCCTGCTCATCTCCCAGCGCCTGCCTGCCACCTCCCATGCCATCCCCCTCATTGGCAAGTGAGTCCTGGGCACCACTGGGTGCAGAGGGGACATCATAGGGTCTCTGTGGTGCCAGAGGGCAGCTCTGCCTGTGTGCAGCCCATGGCAATGCCCCTGCGGTCCATGGTCCCCACAGGTATCTGCTTTTTATCATGCTTCTGGTGACGGCCGTGGTGGTGATCTGCGTTGTGGTCCTCAACTTCCATTTCCGCACCCCCAGCACCCACATCATGTCTGACTGGGTCAAAGAGGTGAGTGGGGTGGTGGGCTGGGTGAACTGAGGGGTACAGGGGTAGCACCATGCCCCACAGAGGGCATGGGAAAGCACAGCCCTGGTGTTACATCGGGGTGTCCCATCTCTGCCACTCCAAGGGGTGGCACATTCAGGTTGGGGGCAGAAAGTGGGGACAAGGTGGCATTGCACTGGGGAGGTGGCCAAGGGACCTGACACCCCTTCCCATGGCCCAGGTCTTCCTGGAGACCCTGCCCCGCCTGCTGGGCATGTCCCAGCCGGCCGAGAGCCCGGCGGCCACCCCGTGCATCCGACGCTGCAGCTCGGCCGGCTACATCGCCAAGGCGGAGGAGTACTTCAGCGTCAAGTCCCGCAGCGAGCTCATGTTCGAGAAGCAGTCGGAGCGGCATGGGCTGGTCAGCCGCATCACCCCTGCCCGTGAGCCTTGGCCCTCCGCAGCATGCCGAGAAGGGCAGCAGAGTGGGGGTCTCCGGGGGTGGCAGCCCTCGGAGCCTGTCTCACTGCCTTCCTCACCCCCAGGTTTGGCACCGGCAGGAGCAGATGGAGGCAAGGAGCAGCTGTACGAGCACATAAAACCTGTTGTTGATGGTGCCAACTACATCGTCAAGCACATGCGGGAGAAAAACAGCTACAATGAGGTGGGGACCGTGGGCTCAGGGGGGACAGAGGAGGCTCCCTGTGCCCACTGTGCCCTCCACTGCCCGGCTCCCGGCTCCTTCCCCAGGAGAAGGACAACTGGAATCGTGTGGCCCGGACCCTGGACCGCCTCTGTCTCTTCCTCATCACCCCCACACTGGTGGTGGGCACCCTCTGGATCTTCCTCATGGGCATCTACAACCATCCACCACCGCTGCCCTTTGCTGGAGACCCCTATGACTACCAGGAGGAGAACAAGCGCTTCATCTAGGGGGGTGGAGGGGTCCCATGTGTCAGCCCCCCCCACTCACCTGCCATGGCTTGAGAAAATAAAGCTGGGTGCTTCTCACCACAGGGTGCTGAGCTGGTGGCTGCTCTCAGTGCCCGCCCATGGGCACAGTGACTAACCTGAGCACTGTGTATGTGCCAGGGTGCAGGGAGCGGGTGCTGTTGGGTGTCCTGAGCACGGTGGTCCTCAGCTGTGACTGGAAGGGGTGTTTCCCAGAAGGGATGTGGTGGTACCAGCCCTGCTACCACTGCTGGGCTGGGAAGTCGGGACACGGACTGTGGAAGGTGATAGACCCCCCCAGCACAGCACCATCACCCTCAGACACACTGCAGTGGGCAGAGATGCCATCAGTGCCCACAGAACCTCCTGTCCCCTTGACCCCCCAGCCAGACCCACAAGTGTCCCCCGCCGACTCATCCCATCCCACAGTGCCCGGCTGCGGGCCAAGAGTGGTGTCT